TGTACTCCAGTTCGCTGCGGAGGAAGGGGCGTGTTAGGCAGTGTAATTGCGCCACGGCGCCAAGCCCTTTCTTTGCCAGCTGCTGGAGCGGGTATGCAAACAGTCAGTAGAAATGAGGAGATACGTATGATATGGCACAGCCTTGTCACTTACTCGCTTCGACAACTGGGTGAGCACGGGTTTGGTGCCTTGCCAAACTCATCCCGCCTGACACGCTCTTCGTCCGCACGAACTAAACTACAGATCGTTATGATGTTTGAATATGACAATCGCATTTTCAGTGCGAACCAGCCATAACTGCGAAGTATGTCTGGATTTTTATGAATGATGCATTACGGCGGTATTACTCTTCACCTCTATGGGTGACATCGCGTGAAACGCAGGTGAAAACCGGAATTTTTTTAGCTGAATGTTCGGCTTCTGGAAAAAATACTAGATCTTCAGACACCATATCAGCGAATATCAGCTTATAATGAAACGAAAGGAAAGGAGACACTGGCCACAGTCTTGCAACGAAACCGAGCAGCTGGTATAAAGAAAGAAGTTCTAACCGACGACGAACTTCTGGCATCGACTTCGTCACCATTTTCTGAGGTTGTTATCAATAATTATCAATAACAGACCGTTAGCGCAGCGTCAGCGATGCGCGTTCCCATCCATAGAATTTGAGCGGTGTTGAAGTGGTTGCTCCTTAACGCGAAGTCTAAACGCTGCCTCTGGCGCATGCCTAGTCAAATTCTTATTTTCAGAGCGCCCCTGATAACTCACACGATGAAGACTCATCGCTCAGCTCTATATCTTCACGGGCTCTTCAAATGTTGCCGCTTGGTCAGACGGACTCTGCTGCATTGCAAAATTTTTATTTTGTGCAAGGAGATATGCTGATGAACCTGTTTCGGTTCTGCCCTGAATGCGGGAATCCTTTATGGAAGAGACAGTTAACGAAGGTTGGAACAGCCGCCGTGGTCAGGTACAGATGTGCTTACTGCAATACAAATGATCAATGGGAAAGCCAACACCGCACGGTCGACCATACGAGCGAACGGACATTCAGAGGGAACGTAGCTGCTTCTGCTGCGGCAATAGCAGCTGGTTTTGGATATAAAGTGAGTTGTAAATTGGTCCGTAAGACACAACTCCGTGAAAATTGCTTGTTCAGGACATACGGAAATGGACTGCGCAGTTCAATCTGTCCTTGTTTTCGAAATCACATTTCTGGGAAGTATTTGAATGCACTAGACCTGCTTGAATATGTCGATATTATGGTTGACACTATTGAAGTGTTGTGAGCTTTTCTAATATTCGGGTTACGTTAGGTAGCAATGCAGTGTGTGTTTTTACAATGTTTTTTTCTCAAATTAGAGGCAGCTCCCGTGATCACCAGGCGGCAGAAGCCCTTCTTTGCAGAAGGTGGCGCGGTCCGCACTTGCAGAGCATGTTCCACTTTTGCGACTCGATGGTGCTTATAAGAACGCATTCTCTCGGTGAAGATTACCTAGCTGCGCCTCTGTGAATAGGGTCCAGCTTTGTCATTTTATTTTACTATTTAGCATCACTATACTGTGGAAAGACCTCGTTTGTGTAATCTCTCGACAAGCCATACTCTTCCGCACTCAGTCTCGGTACGCCATATACTCATGTATTGCTCAGATCCAACAAGGACCTTATTTTGGGTGTTTTCAAAGGTTTTGTTTGCTTTTTTCTTTACGATCACCCCACTTACCACATGATCTGAACCTTCTCAGCCCTAGCCCCTGCGAATGCGATCGCAGGCGCTGCCTTTGAACCCGCTCAGTTGTCTTTCGATGAATAAGTTGTTATCAGTTGAAAGGATGTGTGCAGTGTCATGATTGTAGTTGTTGAGTGTGCAGTTTATTTTCGTACTGTTATCACTTATGTGCGTCAGTTCGATTTTGTTGTATATAGACTAATAAAGAAGACACTTTGATGAAAAACTCGTCAATTTTATGAAATGGGACGCTTGCAGTTGTGTTGCTAAGCGTGACTTGTGCTCTCTTTTACTTTCTGAATTATAGCCGTAATCGATAAAAGTTGATAATTTGAAGGGCTGGGCTTATCGCAGCGTAATTGTCCAGGGGCACCGCTGTAAAATTGAAGAACTTTGCTTCGGAACAGCAGTACCTTAGACAGTTTTTGTGCCGTGTACCTCATTCAAAACTACTGGATTGTCTATTTTGGGACAGTTTTGTGATTAACGCTCTTCACTGAAGATACCGGGAATGTTCTACTTCAATAAATTTCTGGAAAGAATTGAAAAAGTGTAGTGC